TACGCACATGTGCGCAAAAGTAAATGTGACAACTTCGACATGCCACTGTCATAAAATATTTTGAAGTATTTTCATTAAAAAGTAAACGACAGGCTTTTTAATGAATTACGTAGGTTTATAGACAACTATTGATCATAATTTAAAGTTTACTTACAATTTGTAAATTATAAATTTGGTACAAGTTCAGTCTCAAAGTCGTTCAAATGGTCTATTTTTTGCACTCGCCGATGTTGCCACACGCAAAACACGATTTTTCTAAAAAGCGCAAATTTTATGCAAAATATGCATCTTATACAAACACCATACCGTGAAAGCAGCACTTGAATGTCCAACACTCATTGTTTCACTAGCATTTGCTTGCAAAAGTACGCTTCTGAAAAACTACAAACGTCAAAACATGACGTGACATGACATCAATGGCATTGACATCAAATTTTAACTATGAAGTTGACGGTTTTTATTTTGGGTTATTTTCATTTATTATAACTTATTATTCGTGTTATGTCCTTTATTTGAATAAAAAATATTGTTCGATGCGAGGGCGAAAATCCGTTTTTCGAACTCCTGACGGATTGACACCCCCGACTTCGTCTCGGGTGTCAAACGCCGCCATCGTTGGAAAAACGGCACTTTTCGCCCTTGTGTCGAAAACTACTATTAATTGCTCTTTTATTTACGTCTTGTTAACTCTCCTCTAGCAGTGAGGGGCGCATTTTTATTTATAGTTTGAATCGAATGGAAATTTGCGGCTTCTTCCTGGTGATTAGAGCTGTTGATGGTTGTTACCCTGATATAACGTGATAATTTAAAATATCCGTTACTTTAATGATAATACTCAATGGAGTCCGCCAGGCGAAACGTTGCAATGAATCGTAATGAAAAATCCGGACAATTAGTTTGTTAAAACCCAACTGATCGAGACATATCAATACCTTTCCACCCATTGGAGAAGCGCAATGTAATTCAATATAACTCGATGATACTGTTGATGGTTTCGGTACGATAATGAGCAAGGTGGACATTGGGGCCCATAAAACCATATTGGTGTGACATATTCGTGGATGACAGGCGCTGATTATGTTTGTCCCCAGCCTGGGAAATGATCGATCGGTGTGGCAAGGGAAAGAAATGAGCCATCGCGATAAGACCGAACGAAGGCACCTTATTAATTTTAAAACAATGTTCGATATTACATGGTAATCGATATTTCCGAAGGGTATCTGGTCAGGGGATAATGAGCCGATTATTTCACGCTGTGTTCACTCACTAATTCATAAGACACTAGAATTTGAAATTTGGATGAACAATTTGTGACTGACCAAACAACCGACGGTTTAGACTCACACTTCCAATAAGCAAAGTAAGTTGTATTCTGGTTTCTGGTGCGACTGATGGTTAGAAAAATGACATGCCAAGGGCGCTTTTCGAGCTTAAAGCACATGCAACAACCAACCAGATTCATCTTTTCTGCTCATTTTATTATTAAAATGAGCCGCGACGACCACGGCGGCGTTCAACCATAATGAACGATCAATCATAAATAATTAATGGACTCATACATTATTGATCTGAATTCTCCAACTTACAGAGTGTCACACAAAATACTGCAGGGATGCTCTTAACCGCTACAGACAAAATATTGGGTGATTTCCAAACTCACTCTTCTCGAAAACTTTTAGTTAATTTTCCATTGAAAAGTGCTGTAAAATGCTACTTCTAAGTGAAGGAGACTTTAGCAGCTACTTCACTTTGCAATGTGGGTAATCTCAATCAAAGCCTCATCTAGCCTGCAGTAAATAACTGCAAAATGAGCGTCCACTACGCCTCTGATTTTAATGAGTGCAGGTAAATTACAGGAAGTGACAGTACCTATCTGGCTGAGTCTAATTAATAATAAACCACAACTGCATCGAATGGCCGAGGTTACAACTCAAGATCAAGTTTATTTGCATGCAAGCAGGTTGCTTGGTATCTATCATAGAAAAATTACATAAATTAGATATTCGGATTATTATTTTGTTGTTGTTGTTGTTGTTGAATGAAGAGATGCGCGAATTTGAAATACACGGGAAAAACTTGTTTGCAAACTGCTCCAGCCCACTTCAAAGGCCCCACATGGAAACCGGTTCAAATCTATCTATGTTCTTCGTTTAAATTTGTCTCATTAGAAGTCCGGTAGCTCACTTATTTCTTAATTAACCTTTATCTCACCTGTCGGCACACTTTATGTCCCATCGATAACCCTTTTTAATGTGTTTCGCGATTACATCACGCTGGAATGCGTGGGATGACTTTGTCCTCTTACTTAGTCCACACATGCAACATACACACAGTTGCTCAATAATATTGCCATTACAAAAGTTTGCTGGTTTTACAATTTAATTTTAAATGCTAGAGACGATTGATGGATTAGACGGAAAAGTATTCTGTTTTTCTGATAAGAGGAGTTTTTGATCCAGCCTCAAACCCGTTGTTCAAACATAATTGTTAATTTAAAATACAATTGCGATCTTTTTGGTCCATTCTCCCCTGCATTCTTAATCGATATCTTAGTTATAACTGCAGATAAATGCACTGGATTCCAATAAGTCCATTTACTTGTAAAACAGCGCTTGATACTTTAACACAAAAGTAAATATTAATGGCATTAAGCATACCTAAGGACTTAGAATATGGGTGACAAACGAGTCATCAGGCCCAACAAAACATAACAGAAAATTAGCTAAACATATTTTTAAACATAAATAGGGTAAAACTCTCTTAATTCGTTGATCAGCTATAGAAAGGCGTTAAGACCTAGCAAGTGAATCCATAGTTCATATTTACAGCAAGTAAAACTGAAGTCGTCTCTATTACTACTTCGGTCGATTAATTTTTCAACTTTTTAAAGGCTTTCAGCGACACAATGAGCCTTTCCAGCTCAATTGTCCATTTCTTATAATCCGAGGAATGAAGGGCTGAGAAGTAATACGTGCGCAACTCATGGGATGGCATCGAATTGTCTTCCTGATTCAAATCAGTTGCTCGATAGGTTTTTAACCGAAACGACCGCTTTCTCAAGCAATTTTCAACCTGCAATATCAGTTTTTGATTCACCAGACCAAATTCCCAACTAGTCCCATTCCGCTTTACCTTAGTAGCTAGAGGGCCAACGCAATACTCCAGATTGATGCGATCAACTGAATTTCCCCAGAGTTCATCTTGGGGGTAGTTGTAAAGCCATATGTTGCAGCCTCTCAGAATGCACCATCTTCGGTCCCAGAAAATGCTCCCCCCTTTGAAGGTCCCCATATCCAGAAATCCTGATAACATCACGTTCTTGTTCACACAGTCACAACTTAGGTCAAATTCAACTAGTCCCTCGAGCTTATGGAAAACGTAGGTGTCCAAATTTAGGGCTGCTGAAGATTGGTTGATGTGCTCACTAGTTAAAGTCGCATCGGCACACAGTTTGAAAGAGGGCTGCAGCACGGTTTTCTCTTCATACTGATGAGTTAGGTGGTTTTGGTAGATGATTTTGGAAGTCGAACAGAGCCCCCAGTTAAGCTTCTCCTGAAATAACATTGAATGTTTCTGAACTAATTCCTGCAAACACACTTTTTACTTATTACCCAAAAGAGCTCCTCAGACGTCCTCATTTTCAAGCAAAACAGTTTGATCCGAATGCGAAAGTCCGGAGTGACCGAAAACAGTCTAAACTCCCTTTTGAACTTCAGAGGATTGATCTCGCCGGTGATGTACTCAGACATCAGCATTTGCTTGTCATGTGCCACAGTGAGCAGGAAAAAGTCTGTAAAATGCCTGTTGAGCTTGGGTTTAGCGCGAAAGGTGGATAGAAAGGGGAATTTTATGTTGCAAAGACGCAGCGTGCTTCTGAGCAGCGGCGGGTCCAGCAGGGAGAAGTTGTTGGCTACTATTTGCTCGTTCAGCAACTGCACTTTTTCACCTGGGGCAAGAACAACAACGTCAATATCTGCAATTTTTGGCCGTTTCCTTACCACATACTTGTCTGCAATAGTAAGGCTTCAGCAATCAAAATCTTCACCCAGTCAATATTCTCCTTTTGCAACCGGATCTCCTGAAGCACCTTTGACGCCTCGGCCATCTTCAGGCACTGAATATCTCTGGCCAGCTTCACGGACTTGTAGATTTGGTCTAGTCGCTCATTTTCGTTACTTTCCCCTTCGGATTCCGCGAAGGTCAGTGTCAAATCTTCGGCATCTACAACAGTTCCAGTGCTGTTTAGATTCAAGTAGCTGTCCAGCACTGATTGAATCGATGTGGTGGGATTCAGCTTTACTTCTTTAATTTTTCGCAATGCTTTAGTGCATCGACTGTCAAAGGAATCCTAGAATAAAACTCTTGATGCGACTGTTCCTGTTTACAGTTTCACTTACCTCATTCTCTGATTCCATTATCCACTTCCGATCATTGGTTTTTCCGATGTGGACTGTAGAGTACTTTCCGCCCCCTTTACCATCAAGTTTCGAGTACAACTTTTTCTGAATCCTCCCTATTTTGTTTCTGTTGAACAAATTGTCAAATTTTCCCATTGATTGGCTGCGATGGGCATTAACCACAAATTTCGTTTCTAGTTGGTCGTCCTTTGCACCTTTCTTCGATAGTCTACACGTAGAAAAACTCGCTTTCAATGCTCCTTTATTAACTGAACTTAGCGATCTTTTGCTCATCGACGAAACTGAAGAAGTCAGAAGCTTGGTGGACTTTTGGCAGTTTTCCCAGGCGGAAAACCGACATGAGCTAGTGAAAAAACCGGACTCGTATATTCCAATGTTGGACGCTGAGCGGCTTGAAAAATCCGGCGGATGGTATTCTTGAAAACTTTTATCATTCGAACCCACTGCAGCCTCGTGAGTTTTCGGGGTAGAGGAACATGTGGTTCGAAGAATGGGCATGTTTGCCAAAGTTTACCCGGTAGATGTACAGAAGTGGATATTTAGACACAATTTAAGTCGATGTAATATTAATTTTTCTTAATGGTAGTATAGTCAGCAATTTAACACCAACACAAGTGAATCAGCAAATAACACTAAATCTTCATCAATAAGATGTGCAGTGAAACGTATCATTGATTGAACCAAATGGTAGGAATGTGAATTATTTCTCTGTGTACCAGGTGTGATGTTTACTTGGACAAAGTGCGGGTTTTACACGGACTGGTATAAAAGTTTTGTGCCAAAGAACAGCAGTTT